GCGCCAGGCATCCTTGGAGTGAACGAGGGGGGGGGGGGTTGGTCGGATAGAGTGCCACCCACCCCCGCATAGCCCACATGAACGGTAAATCGACAGCGTGAAGCTCATGTTGGTGCATCGGGCTACTTAGCTGTGGCTGGCGGTAGGGCATGGTTTACTTTATACACCAAACACCCTGCCGGGCCCTTCGCTTGAACGCGTGCTGCGCATGGAGACGAACCGGCCGGTCTCGCGGGGCGTCTTGGCAAGAAACACGGCATGACTCAGTTTTTGATTGAGTCACCCACGAGTGTTCCGCCACCCCTGACCCCACCCCGCTTCTTGTACTGTTGCAACCACAACAACCTCGTGTGTAATAGATGCTGTGCTACGTGGCGACGACGTACGGCAACAAGACCACTGGCTCTGTGGAGGAGGAGATCACGGCCTACCAAAGCGTGAGAGAGGGACCCCGGGGGCTGGTCGTCGTCGTTACACGTTCGGTCGCCGTTGAATCGAATCTTTTGTCGGTTGTTGCTCGCTCTGCACGGGATGAGAAATTAGTCTTGAGCTACCAAAGAGTACCGTTGATGGTATCGTGAAGGAATTCTTGTCGATTTTGAGAGTGGGCCTAATTACCCCGCTGCCCTGTGGGGCGCCGAGCTTCTGCCTGACTGAAAAGGTATTTCCTCTAGCGTCCGTAGAGCATGCATTCCCCCGTCTCTCGCCGCGTGGGTGCACGGCCCTCCCGGACCGCCTTCGCAAGAAATTCAGGTTGGGGGTACGCAGACCCTATCCCTAGCCCTTACCCCAACTTCCTCGATTGCATACTACATCCAACATGTTTACGTAATCGAATCCCTGGAAAAGGCTACGGCCCGTCCCTAACTCCCCGACAACCTCTGCTGTGATCGTTTTATTCGTTCGTGCCCTCGCGCCGTATGCCCCCCCCCCCCCTCCTTCGTTCCAAAGCTGCTATTATAACTTTACCCCGGGGCCTGCGACGGCATCTTCTTCCACGAAGCCCCCCACCTGCTCACCGATGCGGGCAACCTCCAGATCTACACGGGCCACAA